TCCCAAGTGTGATTTTGCAAGATGGATTCAACTTCACTGTTGACAGCTTCTTTCCATAAAGGAGCTTCAAGACTGGACATAGCCTCCTTAAAAGTTAAAGGCTCATTTTCTAACAAAAATATTAGAAAATAAATGCATTGCATGTATATTCAAATTTGTACGCAAATTAGCCGTTGATGCAAATTAACTAGCCTTTTTTTTTTTTTTTCTTTTTTTCTTTTTGTTAACTTCAATCTTCACTTTCTATTTCATTTGTCTGTTGTTTCTTTTACAATCTTCTCATTGTGTGATCTTCAGTCTGCAGTAGTTCTCCAATTTTTCACTACTTTCTTTAATTTTTTTACTTGTTTCTTTTATAATATTTTTCGCTATGTGTTAAATGTTGTATCCTATTGTATTTTTTAATTTATTTATTTGTACAAATTTTACCTTCAAATTATGGAAGATTTTGAAATGTTTGAGGAATCACAAACTTCATAGTAGAACACTGATGTTCCTTTTTATTTCGGAAACGTGTCATGTTTCTTATGGCAAAGCGTTCACCATTATAGAATATGAAACTTTATGTAGATCTTGGTTGGCAGTCTCTCAAAATCTCATTACTGGTAATAGTCAGACCATGGCAATATTCTGGAAATGAGTACTCGTTTATTTTAATTCACAATTGAATGACCAATCAAATCAAAATCGTATTTCTTTGTCTAACCGTTGGTCTGTGATACAAAAGGCAATTAATAAATTCTGTAGTTTTCTTAAGCAAATCCAAATAAGGCAACAAAGTGGAACAATTGAGGCAGATATGATAATTTTCATTTTTTTTGTAGCTTATCAATTTTTTTTTTTTTTTGTTCTAAATCTACTTTTTATCGAAATGATTATCTTTTTCATTTTTTAGATTGCTGAAGCTAAGCACATGCATTATGCAAAACAAAAAAAACACTTTACATTTGATACAAATTGGGAAATTTTGCGCCGAAGTTGTAAGTGGGATGAAATTAGAACACAAACCAAAAAACTCATACCACTACCTTATCCATTTTCGATTCCAGAAACTGAAGGAAAGGCTTTTTAACCCAACAACAATATTAAGAAGGACCAACAATCGACTAATACATCAACACGACCAATTGGTACTAAGACTGTAAAAGAAAAGTTGAAGAAGCAAGCAATTCACAATGTTAGATTTGATGAAATGGCTGCCAACCAATCTAAAATTATTGAAGTATTGTCAACTATTTCCTCTAGAACTATTGAGCGAGATGGTTAAGATAGTCATTATGTTTTGTTTTTCAGTTATGGTTGGTTCCAGACAGGGATGCAACTTGTGCGGGCTCAACCCGAGCAACCCGAACCTAACTCGAATATTTTTAGGGTTTGGACAAGATATTTTCAAATTTGGTACGAGCTTGGGCAAAAATTCAGAAGCTCGAATTAAATTTAGGCGGGCTTGGGCAAAAACGTCAAATAACCCGAGCAATCCGAAGTCCGAATTATACATATATAAATATATAAAAATATTAAATATACATATAAATTATTAGTTATTACAAGATATTAAAGTAACTTAGATTATTAAATCATATTAAATATATATTATATATACAAATAACATAAAATCTTACTTTTTTTATTTTCACTCATAAATTGTAAAGACTACTATAGCGGTATCTCTCTTACATTATATAAATTATTTGTTTGGAAGGTATTAATGATTTTCTATATAAAAAAATATAAATAGAGTCAAATTTTAATAATTTAATAATGTAGCTAAAAAAAAAACTGAAATTTATTTACAATTCGGGCAACCCAGGTTTAATTCGAGTCGGACTTGGACAAACAATCTGGGGTTACAATTCGGGTTTGGGTGGGCCTGGGCAGGTCTCAGCACAACTTGAGCTGAGTTTGGATAACCTCTCAACCCGCCCCAACCTACCCGAGTTGCACCCCTAGTTCCAGATACAACGCTATTTGTTTGGTTTATATAGTATATGGTTTAATCTGTTTATATTTGTTTTTTGAGGGAAATAATTAATGGAGGCAAAAAGAAATGGAAAAGATTTAATGGAGAGAAAAAAAAAATAGTAAAGGAATTGAAGGAAATAGAAATGCAGTGGGAAAAAAATTTCATTTGCTCTTTCTGGTCGATCTGCCGATCGTCCTCCCAGACAACTTGTGTTTTGCTAAAAGCTACAGTAGTTCACTATTAGAGTGACTGATATCAGATAAAGGAATTGGTCATATTTTTATTCGAATGTCATGATTTATTTGGTGAACAGTTAGAGATGCCCTAATTAAAATATATTTTTAATATCATTAAAAACTATTAATTGACTTGATATTTTTTTAATAAAACAGGTCCTTTTAGATTTTTATGCATACATCATTTATAAAAAAATTAATAAATTGATTCGATAATTGTTAATCACATTTGTCTTTAAAATATTCAACAATTTGTTTCTAAAATCATACTTGTTTATTTTTATTTTGTAAAAAAAACCTAATAAAATTATATGACTACAATTATTAACTCACTTTAAATTTTTTATAAATAATTTATACATTAAAATTTTAAAAATAAATAAAAAAATTATACATTAAAATTTTAAAAATAAATAAATCGAATCACCACAGTGAGCCAGTGACAGTCCAATTTTCTCCACAAATTGGAGAGAAGTTGGACCATAGAAATAGGCCACGCAATGAACAAAATGCACATTCACACAAAAAAAATTATAGGTAAATTACAAATGCATTTCTGAGATTTGTTTAAAATACGAATCACTTCTTATAATTTTATAAATTACATTCTACTCTTAAATTTTCTAATTTCATAACAAATCGCTCATTTATTAATAAATTATCAAGTCAATTAACAGTTTTTAATGATATTAGAAATATATTTTAATTGATAATTTAAGTAATTTTATTATTGTATAGAAGAAAAATTATGAATTTAATTTTTTAGTTAATTCTGTTAAATAAAAAATTCTAATAAGGAGGTATTTGTAATTTTCTAAATCACAGGAGGCAATCTGTACTTTAAACAAATCTCAATAAATATATTTATAATATACCCAAAATTATATAATAAAAGTATTTTCTTCTCTTGATGTGAAACTTGCTTTGCCACAACGATATGCCAATGGAATTGTGACGAGCAATGTTGTGCTGTGTATATTTTTATGTTAAATTTGTTTATATTGTTGGAACAATCTTTTGTGTAAAAAAAATAATTTGAAATAAGTTCAAACAAAATAAATAAATAACATACCAGATTTATTTATCGAACCGAACTAAAATTAAGACCAAGTCGAGTGTGTGACACTCTGTCCTTAAGACAGATTCGCCCCGTTACGGTGCTTACGGTTGAGTGGCGTCTATCTCCCAGGATACAATGATTTTCACAAATCAGTAGAAGCACTTCAAACAAATTTGTTCGGCGAATCAAACCGGTGATCTATACTCTCTTTAATTTATTCTAAAACTAAATATGAAGAATAAATGCACTAGAGAAAAATTGGACAGCAATGATGGAATATCAGATGAAATTTTGGAATTTCACCAAGTATCAAGACTGCTAGAATAGGATCTATATATAGGCAAAAAATGAGACTAAAAAAAAACCTATCCGAACATGTCCGAACAGGTGCAACCTTTTAAGTAACCAAACAGTTACGGACTGTTGCACAATGAAAACAAATATTCAAACAATTTAAAAAGTTGACCGTTAGTGGAAATTTGAAAAGTTGTCCATTAGAGCAACTGTTTCAAACTGTTGCAACTTTATTAATATAAAATATTTGGAATATATATATTAAATTAATTGAATATATATATTAAACTATTTGAATAGTTTAATAAATAAAGAAAGAGATACAAACTTTAGGAAATCACTTAGGAATCCAAAATTTTGATTTTAGAATTAAATTAAATTCCCACAATTACAAACTTTAGAAAACCACTCAGGAACTCAAAATTTGAATTTATAATTAAATTAAATTCCCACAATAATTTTTATTGAAAAAATTCAAATGAATTTTATCTAAAAAAAATTAATGTTAGACTCGAAAAACGACGTCAACATCCCATTCACTCATAAATGGTTTTGACGTTCTGTCTTCACCTCTTCGGACCCATCCCAAACAACGTTTAGGGCCCACTCAAATTTGGGCTAAAAAATATGCCTATATTAAACTATTTTTCCAACATTTTCATCAAAATGAAGCCTTATCTTTTGATCCTCTGAAAAATTAGGGCTTTCTGCAAATTTTTAAGGATTTTCTTGGTAGGCTTTAGACAATAAGCTAAGTAGCCTAATGGTTGAGCCACTTCTGACAGTCGGATTTATCTAATTTTCATGTCCAAGGACATAAAGACAAGAGGCAACAATATTTCATATTTCTTGAATATTTTTAGAATGATGTTTGCAAACTAAAAAACCATTTTGTATATAAAATGAAAGTTTTATACATATTTATATAATAAACTCTACTACTTATATATATATATATATATATATCTATATAATAAGGAAGAATGATTTTTGAAAATGTATAAAATGTATGTGAGATACATTTTAATCCAATGGTTTACATTGTCTCATGTAAACTTCAACGGTTGAGATGTGTTCATTTCACGCCCAAACTTGAATGGCATCATCACTCTCTCTCTCTTCTCATCTCTCTTTCACAGATGCATCTCTCTCTCCCTTCTCAAAAGTTCTCTCTTCCTTTTCTCTTGCGATGACCACCGCCATCGCGACACTGACGACTACCGACCACATCTCTTCTCCCTCACCGGAGACCCAATCCCTCATCTCCCTTCATCACTGTAGGGCAACAGACCCATATCATTTTAGGGCTCTATTTTTTACTTGCATTTTGTTCATCTTCGTAGAAATGAACAAAATGCAGACCCATAGAGGAGATATTAGAGATCGGAATGGTTCACGGTGCACAGATTTGGTTGAAACCCTAGGTCGAAAGCTTCATTTACGAGCGACCTCTCGCGGAGGCGATTTTGTTTCAGCAACAGTTGCAGGATGGTGGCATCGGGGCGATTGGGCATTACACCTAGTTCTAGGGTTTTGAAAACCCCTCTCAGTGACGATGCGATCTGGAAACGCCTTCGAGAGGCAGAGTTCGATGAAGACTCCATCAGAAGGAGGGACAAAGCTGAGGTTTATCTAATTCCTCCATGTTTACATTTATTGATTTTTTTTTGTTTGTTTCTTTTATTGTAATTTATTGATCTTTATGTGAAAATCAAGAATATATACTCATATTTAAACAAAAAAAAGTTCATTTTGATGGGTTTTATTGGATTACTAGGAATTTCACTTATTGTGTCCATGATTAGATACATACATACATACATACAGAGAGCTCAAATCAAAGAGAAAAATTGTGGGTAGTAAAGAAGTAAATAAAAAAGTAAAGAATTACAGAGTATTACAATTGTGGTAGGACATTGAAGCCTGAAGAATGGTTTCATTCAGATTTCTTTTATTATTGTTTTTTTTTAATTGTTGGGTTTTGATTGTTGTGAAATAGTAAATCTCCAATTTTTTTTTTCTTCCATTTAATTTATTATTAATTTTTTTTGTTTTTTACTCTAATATTTTCTATTTGTGAAATCTTTAGAATCTCCATTTTGTGTCTGAATATGGCAAGGAAGCTACTGCTGGTTTGAAGGTAATTTCACATGCTTCCAACTCAACCTTTATTTCTCTTAGGCTTTTATCATTTCTAAATCTTTGAATGGGTTCTGTGAGTCTCCATCCTCCACCATCGAGAGTTTGATGAGTTAGCCACCATGTCTTCACAAAGCAAACGCAGAGAGATGGATTTGATGAAACTGTAAATCTCCATAGTCAACCCCAACGATCCCCATCCCTTCCCCAAATCTCACAAAATCACCGTCAGGGTATCTTTTCATTTTCACTTTCTTCCATTTTCTCACCTGCCAAACTGCCTATTTTCAATTTTTCTCACCAGATTTTTTTTGGGTTTTTCTTTTCAGGCGGCTGAGGCTGGGGATTACATGACTTGCTTTTGGGCCCTAGATCACAAGCCACAGTCTACGATCACCATTGATTTTGATTGGAAGACTAGTGTGGCTGCTAAGGATTGGACCAACGTTGCTAAGAAAGGCACAATCGATGTGAGTATCTATCTTTCGCTAAGTTCCATTGATGTTGGGTTTGTGGTGATTTAGAATTTTTTTTTAGTTTGTTGGTGACAATGAGCTTTGTGTTGCACATTTGAATGGGTGGTAAGGATTTTCCAATTAGTAATGTTTTGATTGGGGTAAATGGTGATGTTTTTGAGTTTGTTTCATGGTCTGCTGCTAAGTTTTTTTTTTTAATGTTTGATTTTATTTTGCTTTTTTGTTTTTAGGGGTTTTCCTGTTTGGTTGAAGTATGTTCCAGGCATCAGCAATCTTTCAAGGTCTCTCTCTCTCTCTCTCTCTCTCAAGATTAATCTAAAAAATTGTCCAAATGATGAAGGATGAGAAGTTGTTTGAGTCTCAAGGTGGTCCTATCATCATCTCCCAGGTGCGACTTTTTGTGTTTCTTTGCCTCTTTTTCTATAATAAAGTTTATTTTTATCTGAATTTGTATATCATGCAGTGGTTGCCTGAATGCAGTGGTTATCTGAATTTGTATATCATAAAGTTTCTTTGCCTCTTTTGAAATAGTATAATAGCTTCAATAAAGCTGTTATATTTTCATACATCATGCAATGGTTACCTTATCAGGGGATGATTTCAATGCTTTTTTGTGAAGTAGATTGTTAAATTGATTATTAGGGGAAGATTTTAATGCTTGATTTTGGTTATTAATTTGATAGAACCTTTTGTAGGTCTCATGAGGAAATGTCTCTGAAGATGATAATAACAGCTTTTGGAATTTGAGTTCTGCTTGGCTTTTGAAAAATCTTGCATCGATTAGTTTTGAGCATAACTAAAAATAATACATAAGTTCTACTTGGCTTTTGTTCCAAATGGATATTTTGCTCTCTGTTTTTGGTGAAACCACGGTTGGTTTCTTCTTATTTGGGCTGTCATTCTCTCTCTCAATTAGGGTTTATTTCCTATTTTTGTTGATGTTGTATGGCGACTGTGGTTTTAGTAATTGAAGAAATTTATACTTATTTGCAATGTTTATAGTTCTTTCCGAAAAATGAGAGTGCAGAAGACTGAGTCTAACTTCTTTAGTTCTTTGTTTACATTAGCAAAATGAGGTGTTCCCTTCTCTCTCTTTCTTCCTCTCCCCTTTTCTCTTTGTTTTTGTTTACCTCTGATGGCTGTGTCTATTTCCCTAGCATTAAGCCATTGAGGTGTTCAATTTTTTGACTGCTGTTGGGAAATAGTCGATTGTTCTCTCACCTTCCCAAGCGAGGTCGGTCTCTCTTCCTCTTTTTTGGTATTTTCAATTCTTTGTGGGTCATTTAATTTGGGGTTTATTTTTAGTTCCTCTTGGCCGTCATTGTCTCTCTCAATTTGTGTTTATTTCCTGTTTTTGTTGATGTTGTATGGCGACTGTGGTTTTAGTAATTGAAGGAATTTATTCTTCTTTGCAATGTTTATAGTTCTTTCCAAAAAATGAGAGTACAGAAAATTGAGTCTAACATTGTGCTTAATTTGTCACCTGAAAACAGTCAGAATGGAAAGTTCAGCTATGGCTATGCAAGCTCCCCTGGAAAAAGGTCTACAATGGAAGATTTTTATGAGACAAGAATTGATGGTGTGGATGGAGAGATAGTTGGTCTCTTTGGAGTTTTTGATGGTGTGTATTTCTCTCTCTCTCTCTCTCTGCCATCCACATAACCTTTGGTTTCCTTGAAGAAATAATGTTATTGATGCATAGTAGACTATGTTTGCTAAATGTGAATAATTATAAGTTATATTTGATATTGAAGTACTGATAAAGGATTCTACATACAGTTCCTTATGCAAATATGTCTCTGTCTCTATTCGTCTGTTGTCTGTTCTCTCTTTCTCTCTCAATGATTGAATAAATGTATTACTTTTATAAAAAAATGTTTCTGGTGGTTGCATAAGCATTCACCTATTGGCTTTGGATTGAATCAATCTAATGGATTGTTATACTTCAGAATCATCCAGATAGATAGCTATCAATCATAGATAGCCAACAGATAAATAGCTATACTGGTTTGTTTATCCCAATTCACAATCAATCTGCAAACCAAATTCACAATCAATCAATCTATAAACATTTCAGATTAAAGTATAGTTATTTGTAGTTATTTCTCAAATAGATAGCTATACTTTGAGTGGTACTCAAGTTGATTGTTTGAGAAATAATTTGCCACAGTACTAGTCAAGAGAACACCATTTTGAACTAATATCTATGTATGATCTATGTCAAGAGAACACCATTTTAGTTCAACTCAAACAAACTAAAGTTTAGCTATCTGTTTAGAATTTTAGTTTAGCTATCTTGATATAGATCATACATAGTTTAGCTATACTTTAGTTCAACTCAAACAAACTTTAGTAGTGATTTATTTTAATAACACCATTTTGAGAATTGTTTAGTATTGATTTATTAATAACACCATTTTTACCTAACTTCTTGGAAATCACCATTTTGAGCTTCTCGCGAGGTTGTTTTTCTTTTTGATTATTTGTTTTTATTGATTGATTAATAACATATTTTGTATAAGCTATTTTTTTTATTATTAATAGTTAGTATAGAGTATGTGTGTGTTCAAATTGTGAGATGGGTTTTTATATTTGGTTAAACATTCTGGAGAGTAATTGAGTAATTGAGGGAATTACTGACTTCTTTCAGTTAGCAATGGGTTTAGTTATGAGTTTTTGAATTTTGGTTCGAAGCTCTTGCAAGTTTGATGATCTTGACAATCTTCTCTTTGTTATGTTTCTTTTTCATTTTTTATTTATGTAGCTTTCAATTTATTTGGATTGGTGCTTATAAACCTTAAACTGATATGTATTTGTTTTTCTTTTTTGTGTTGTCAGGCATGGGTCTTGACATTAGATTTATATTCAGTAGCACACTCAATTAAGTAGAATTTGGGACCATCACTTAACAATGCCCTTTTATTTCATTTTTTATTTTATTTTAGTTCATTTAATTTTTAATTTTATTTTAGTTCATTTAATTTTTAATTTTATTTATTTATTTATTTTTCCATTACTTGCAAGTGCATTTTAGAAAGGAGCTTCATGAAATATAAAATTCAGTTCTCTTACAGGTGAGGACTTTGATTGTGAAAGTTGTTATCTGTCATATAAAAACTGGTATGTATAGTTGATCGCTCCTCTCTTGCTATAATCATCCATGTCCTTTTATTTCATTTTTTATTTTATTTAATTTTTAATTTAATTTATTTATTTTTCCATTACTTGCAAGTGCATTTTGGAAAGGAGCTTCATGAAATATGAATTCAGTTCACTTATAGGTGAGGATTTTGATTGTGATTGGTGTTATCTGTCATACAAAAACTGGTATGTATAGTTGATCTCTCCTCTTTTGCTGTAATCATTTGCTTCTGATATGGCATATTTAAGGATCCCTCTAATAATCTACTTTAGTAATTGCAATTCCGTATAAAGATTTATCTTACTCCCATTACATGTCGGTGGAACATGATGAAGTCCAGTCCCACTAATCTCCTTGCATGTGGGCTTATGCCTGAAACTTGAACTTTGGTGGTGCTTCTTAACGTTCAAGTCGTTAGAGAGTGTAAGAATAACCTAAACTCTTACATTAGGAAAAAATACATAGCTACTGTCCAAGTTTTGTTGTAAAGTTAATGATTTTAGTGTAAACTATTTTAATGATTTGGTTGGTGAAAAAGTGTGGGAAATAGTAAAGAAAGTGAAATTTGGGTTTCTTTTGGCTAATAATTGGTTGCTATGTTTAGTTGCTCTGAAAGTTGGGATTGTGTTCACTGAATTGAAAAGATTTGGACTTATCAAGGCAACTAACTATTAGAGTGTTGATGATCTTAATTGAATTGGGTTGTTGGACTATTTGTCGATTTGTTCAATTTTTGGGTATTTTTCTTAATTGACTTGGGTTATTTGTTCGATTTGTTCTTAATTGACTTGGGTTATGTTTAGGTATTTAGATTGTTCTGAAACACACAAGTTTGGTTCAACTTGATGCCATTTTAGTTTATGATATTCTCTTTCTGTAATTTTGATTTTTAGTTTTATTTTGTGGAGAAATTGTATCATTTTTTTTTTATTGTTATTGGATTAAATGAAATTGTATCTCTTTCAATAAGCCTATGTTCTTTTGTCTAATCTTTTGTGATTATTTAGCAGTAAGTATTGAACCCAAGAATTTTAGTTTTATGATCTGGGTTTGGTGTGATTTTAGGGAGAGGATCTGGGTGTGATGTTTTTATTGGGGCATTTTTTAAGTGGTTGTTCTTTTGGGACTTTTTTTAGGTTGCCAAGTTTCCAAAGTCACCTGTAGTTTGGCCCTCATTTTGATTTTTGTTTTTCTAAACCTTAAATCAAAACACCTAGAATATATTGGAATCATGTTGTTGTACAATTTATACATAACCCATTTGGTTTAGCCAATATCTATTGGTCCAATTTTAGCCAATATCATGTTGTTGTACAGTTTATACATAACCCATTTGGGTGTGATATTGGAATCATGTTGTTGTACAGTTTATACATAACACATTGAGCCAAATGTTTTAAAATGGCTGACTTGGAAACACCCACAAGTCTACTATGGAATGAGTAGTAGCTGCTGTTCTGTGGATTGTGGTTAACACTTTGGTTCTCTCTTTCATTTATTCATCTAATATTTGCATTTGTATCATTTGGTGGTAATATTTGCTATGGAGTTTTGTAAGTATTCTAGGTGATTCTCAATCATTTTGATTCTCTATCGTTTGTATCATTTGTGTTTTTCTATATGTTCAAGAAACCGATATGGGTTTGTGTTTCCTTCACTATAAGAAATTACACTTTTGGCGACTAAATTTGGTGACCAAAATAAATTTGGTCGCCAAAAGTGTCATTTTTGGCAACTAAAAAATATGTTAGTCGGCGTTGGTTCGAAGTTTAGCTACTATATTAATTTAGTCAAGATATGCTATTTATTGGCGACTAAAAAAAATTTAGTCGCTAAATATTAAGTAATAGGCGACTAAAAACCTATTAGTCGGTGATAGTCTATTTTTTAGGCTATGAAAAATTTAATTTGATTGTCGTATACAATTATTTGCCGACGAAAGAAAGTTTAGTTGTCAAAGACCATGCATATTTTTTAGGTTATTCTTTGCCGACCAAAGAATTTCGTTGCCAAATATGAGCTTTTCGTGACTAAAAAAATGTAGTAGTCACATAATAGCTGTTCTCGGGAAGTTAATATCTCATTTTTAACTGCTTAATCATTGTTAGAAGCATTATTTTCATTCATTGTTAGAGAGGTAGTAGTCATACTCATACACGAGGAAATACAGTTGTTTCAGTCTTATTCAAATATGAATTTAAGAAAATATTAAGACCTTTATATGGCCGATCTATTATGAGTCTGGTTTTATAATTTGAATATTTTATTATATAAAAAAATTTGGCGACCATTTTTTATAAGAAAAATTAGATCGATTTTATAATCATGACTTAGTATTCGTTGTAATGAAAATCCCTGTTCATGCTCTACTTTTCATGGAAGTAGCCTCTTCTAATCTTTCATCTCTGGTCATATCAGATCGCTATGACATAACCATTCTGCCGCATAAGATATCCATCCATTCTTTCATGAATTATGGTGCAACATGTCCATGGATGATAAAACCAGAATGTGTTATATTTGTATGTGTATCCATCCATTCTTTCATGAATTGTGGTGCAACAACAACAACAACAACCCACATTATCAACCTCTCCAGAATAGATGTGTGTGTTATATTTTCTGTAGTCAATTTCTTAGTTTCTACCATTTCTATATCCAAAAACTAATCTCTTTTTTTGTTTCTCTAAAAAATAAAAAATTAAATGATGAGCTTATTTGAGATTCTACTACTCTCTCTCTTACCTAATTCGAAAACAACCTCTCCAGAACAGAATGATTATGTAGTTTTATCTGTTTGGTATTTTTCCACCTTTTTTTTTTCTATTCAATTTTTTTTGTTCGGCCCAGTTGATATATCTTAAGACAGGGGTTGTATTCTAATTCTAACGATAGCCAAATTTTTGTTTGGCCCAAGAGTGATATATCTTCAAGTTTGTTGGTGGAATTAAGGTCTTAATCATCATTTATGTTGGTGGAATTTATTTTGCAATTTATATGTCAAGCTTTATTAATCTGGGTTTGAGTTGTTTGAAGTGTGATAAAATTACCGGTTTTGTTTGTGCATATCAACTCCAATTTTGTCATTTCTATTGCATTTGTGTTTGTGTTCATAAAAATTAATTCAAAAACTTGGTAGAAAGTTTGTAATCTCTAGGTTTGTGTTTATTTATGTGCGTGAGAATATGTATTTTATCTTTCAAGTTCTATTTTTTCCTTTTTTGATAAATTTCTTGACCCACAACAATAACAAACAAAAACAACAAACACAACACTAGGATGTTTGCTTTCCATCGGCAAAAAACCTCTCAGTTTACAAGGAGCCCGTTGCTTCTCCAAGTATTGTTGCCCACCCATTTTCATTTGTGATTCTCACATTACTTTTTTTAAATTTTTTTTTTTTTTTTTTTTTTTTTGAAAAGCCGTTTTTTTTTTTTTTTTTTTTTTTTTTTTTTGGACAGAGGATATTCACTCTCTTCAGTTACATTGCTGGATGGATGTTTTTGTGGTCCTTGCTTTATTGTTCCAGTCCCTTAATCTAATTTCATGGTGTGTTCATTTGAGCAAACCAAATGGATAGTTAAGAGTTATTTGATTTTTTTAAAAAAAATTTCATCTGAGCAAACCAAATGCTTGGGTTCTATTGGGAGTTAAATTGTTCAATCTATTTTTAGTTTACAATTTTTTTTTATTTAAATTTAATATTATCATCTATGACTTGAGGAAACAGAGAGTCTTCGTTTGAGAAGAGAGAGGAACGGGGGGGATATCAGTCGGTGAGAGAGACAGTTGAGAAGATTAATGTTTTACAGTCTTCGGGGGAGAGAGACTAAGGTAATAGAGAAGAGGAGATAGAGTGGGTGAGAAAATTGTGAGATTGCAATTTGGGAGAAGTGCAATTTATCTTGGCAAGATTTTTCTTAACTTTCACTCACCTGTGATTGGTCAAGAAAGGAAAGAAAAAAAAAATGATTGGTTTACATCATTTTGGGAGTAATAGAGGTTCTTAATTTTGGGGGTTCTTGAAATTTATTTGGGTTACTAATAAATTGGTGTTTCATTCAAGTTTCATGTCTTCATCTAGGAATTTTTCTCCTTCCTGTGAATTCATTACCTATTCTTTGAAAAGAAAAGAAAGAAAAAAAAACAAAAAACAAAAAGCAAAAATTTGATTACATTCCTCTTTAATTTTGATTTATATTTTAATCGCATCATTAATTGTACCGTGCCTTCAGGCACGGGCATACGCTAGTATATATATATATATATATTAACACATATAGAAAGGCATATCAGATACAAAAATAGAACGAAGTACATTTGGAGACATAGAAGATTGGGTAAATTGGGTACTCATGTTAGGGGATTTAAGAACCTAAGTTGAGTTTGGGCGTCAAACATATATTCGGCACCTTTACCTTTATCTTACCCAATGGACTATGTACATTAAGGGTGCGTCTGTTTGGACAGACTGGATAAGGGGGGATTATAATCCATCGAATTATTAGTCTTGGGATACATTGTCCCGGGATTATTTGATTGGACTAAATTTGTATCCTATGTTTGTTTAGTCACGTGATTAGATGTGGGGATTAGACTATTTTTAGTTATCCAATGTTTGTTTGGGATATTATGGAGAAGGATAAATGCTCAAATAACTATTTTATCATTTTCAATTATTTACTAAGTAATAGTAATATTAAACATAACTTTAATATTTTAATTATTTTTAGCTAGATTAAATAAAAATTTATTTTATTTTATTTTTTGCACAATATTTTAATTATTGTAAATTTATTATTTTCAATAAATTAATTTATAATTTATATTTTTTTTTATTTAATTATAATTTTAAATTAACGACAATAAAAATAATTTTATTTAATATATAAATTAAATTTTCAAGCAACACTAAAAAAATTTAATTTATAAGGCCATAATTTTATTTATATTTTAAATTTTAAAATAAATTTAATTTATAATTTATATTTTTTATTTAATATATAATTTTAAATTAACAACACTAAAAATATAATTTAATTTAATATGTAAATTTAATTTTTTAACAACACTAAAAAAATTTAATTTATAAGGCCACAATTTTTAATTTATTGTTTTTAATTAAATTTAATTTATAATTTATAATTTAAATTTTTTTATTTAATATATAATTTCAAATTGACAACACTAAAATAATAATTTATAAATGTTCAAAAGACTATTTTATC